ACTTACCATCTGTTAAACAGAATGGTGGCCAGAAAGTCCTAACTGATTAGTTCTTGCCCCAAGAAAAATCTCTGGTTTTTCATTTATTACCATTTGTTTTATTTTTGTAAGTCATTATCAATTAGAGGAGCAAAAAATATTAATTTTTAGCCTGTCTAAAAAACTCTCTAATATACCAGCTTAAATCAAGTCATATTTTCCATGATATCTATTATTCCCAGGCAGATCCAACTTTATTTTCATTGCCCAAAAAATAGTCCAATGGGGCTTGACATATATGTACTGAGTTGCCTGGGTGCTAAAAGCATCGCCAATAATTTTGATTAATGTGTCTTGACACTGAATGCATTAACCAAACAATAGTCTTCTTGCTTAAAAGCTAATTAGAATTCAAGTCAGCATGATACCTGCTTGTGAGGATTACAGCAATAACATTTGTTGTAATAAGAACCTCTAGGCATCCAGTTTGGGTAATGATTGATTTATAAAATTATTGAGAAAAAAAGAAGGAGGAAGTAGAATCTGTCCTTAAAATACTTATTTCCCTTAAGGATCAAATTTGAGTATAAATTAAAACATCCTGGTGGCTCTGTCAGAAACGAACTATAATAGCATATTTATTTAAAATCCAGAAAATATAACTTTTTTTTTTTTCTTAAAACAGGATTACATCATGAAAACACATTCAGAGTGTTTACTGGAGGTTTCATTATGGCTGCTAAAAATCTCTGATTTCTGGTTGTATGAGTTTCCTAATTGGACTCTAAATTACTCAACTTCTCAGATGAACTTTGTGCAAGCAGAAAGTAATTGTAAGTAGCAATAACTCAATGTTATTCTTTTAACTAGTATTTTTTTTCTCTTCTAGGAATTCACTCCATATCCTATAGAACTTCCAAAATTTTCCTCTGCTATTTTTTAATGTTTTAAAGGAAGGATCCTCGCCTTCAGTGGATTTAGAAAATACATTTCTGTTTAGATTACTGAGCACTATACTTAAGAATGCCAAAGTGAATGTTTCTGCCACCTGTCAAAGTTAGATTTCATATGCTTTCACGTCAAAGTTGATTTCATATAACATGGTATAAAGAGTTAGTGACTGTCGCAGACCGCCCCCCTAGTCCTCAAGGTCTTGATCTAAATGTCAAATTGTCACTGATGTGGAAGCCAGAGTAAAACCATCAAGCTTAGAGGGCTGATACACTGTAAAAATTTCATTGCCACTAAATGATTTGTTTTTCTGATTTGATGTCATTTTTTAAAATGTATTATATCTCCCTTGCCATATGTATATTTTCCCCCCTAACTGACTTCCTGGGTGAGATAAACTGGTAGTATATGCTGAAAGGAAAAAAGTAAGCATCGAAAATCAATATTTGTGAATAATACCTTGGGTTGAGCATCACTGAAGTATTTTCATCATTACAGTATGTGTCAAGTTTTACATTTGCTCTACCTGTGAACAGTGTCAGGAGGGAACTTTGATAGTGTCATGTCTTATCCCTCGAGTCCTGTGCCCTTTCGTTCCTTATTCCTAGAATACACTTCACTAATAAGAAAGGGGAGTAGTATGACATCATGTGTCAGTAGAAAGTGGGTGCTTACTGCTCCGAAGGTCATGTTAACCTATCACTGCAAAGGAGTTTTAAGTTTACATCTACTACCATAGAATATAAATGGCTGTATATTCTATAGGTTAATATTATTCACATAACAAAAGATCATATAGAACAGATAGATACATAGTCATTGTTCCCCATTTCCCCAAGAAAAATAACAATAGCCAACATTTATATTGTATTCACTATGTGCTTGGTGATACTTTCAGAGCTGTACATATATTAATTCATTTAATTCTCACAGTTTTCTGTATTGTGATCAATGATGATTTGCATCTTAAAAGGAAAGTGAAGCTTAGAGAGATTACAGAACTTTTCCCAGATCATACACTGGTAAGGGGGAGAACCAGGATCTGCACACTGGTTGCTTGTTCTGAAGTTGCTGGTCTATGCTACTTAATTACTGGGGAAATGTAACCATAAGGGGTGAGCCATGTATTTACATTAAAAAAATAAGTGTAGGGAATGAAACAAAGACTTTGGTATTTAGAATCTTATCCTTTGATATTTGAAAAGCTAGTGATAATAAATTTTACCCTTTAAAATATTTGAAGACTTTTTCATACAACTAATTTTCTGAGCTCAAGTCTTATTCCAGAAGATAGATGTGTGCATGGTACATTGTACATAATTTAATTTTCCCAGCTGAACATCTTGACACTATATGAACCATGAATGCATGGAATAGGAATTCCAAATGTCTTCCACATGGTAAGAGGACTTTCAAATACTTGTGCAGGAAGCTTAAGAGAAGTTGGAAATTAAGTTACGCCTGCTCTTAGTGACTTTTACACTGTATGCCTATGGTGTTAGCACTTTCCTCTGAGTGGGACCCTGAGGTGATAGATGGATGAGTCTGCTGTCTGTATTTAGGTACTTTGCTCATTTCCTGAGAGCTGTGGAAGGCATGTGGATGCTCATTAAGTTTCCAACCATTCCCCGAGAGCAACAGGTGGTGAATCAAAGCTTCCCTGGTATGTCATGGATGGTTTCCTCAATGTCTTAGAAATAACGGATGGCATTTACATGCTCTCTGTAGTACCAGCAGATAAGAAGGAGATGAATAGCAACAGGAAGTATTTCCAAAGCATAAATAAACACACAAGTCTAGCAAGATTATGACTAATGTTCCTGCTACCACACATTCTATATCCATACATAATGGTTTCATCTTTGAAATCCTTATACTCTTTTAAACTATGAAATCATGGTTAACTGTCCTAATTAGGGGTAAGGTAAATTAAAGGAATAAAGAACAGCCCAAGTTAATGAAACTGTATTATAAGATTATACTTTTTTAATTCAACATTTATAAATATCTAGTAAATACTAATGACCTTAATGTGTTCTTAAAGTGTCTCCTTTTCAAAATTACTTATTTATACTTGGCACTTACTACATTATAAGGCAAGCATACCTCCCATTTGAATTAGAGTGAGAAGACAAAATTTATTAAACAGAAATAGAACCTGGGATTTAAATCAAACACTGAATACTCGCCCGAATGGTACTTGATAAATACATTTTAAAAAATCTCTAGTGAATAATAAAAAGAGTTTTTGTTGAGTAATAGCTTCTCACTATAGTTACTAGCCAGGGATAGAAAAACAAAAGAAAATATCAGAATTAGTATGGCTAGCAATTTCCTGTGACCTTGTAAATGCAAGCATTTACTGGAGGTAGCAAATCACCAACTACACTCCCAATCTGAAAAAGTTCAAAACATTCATACTAGTCTTCAGATGACTAGGGAAATGCCAAAGGTCCAGTGGGATATGGTTCATGAGAGAAATATAACATTAAAATAATTATACCAAATAGTAGTAATAAAGATCATATACATACACACACACATATATATATACATATATGTACATAACATATACATATATGTGTATAAATGTATATATACACATTTATATATAACATATTAACATGGGTAATTGTACACAATAAATATGTATATATATTTTACTTTGGAGGGAAAAAAAAGGAATTCCTTTATTCTCATGTTCTTTCTTTTACCCAGAAGGTGCTGCAAGCTCAGGAGAAGGGACAACTAGATTTCAACACACCAAGGCTCCTGTAAGACGAGCCATGCTAGCGGCACAGCCCTGCTAACCCAGAGCACTTGCTGCAGGGGCTCTGCTTGCCCCTTCCAAATGCTCCTACTTTATAATGATTTATAATGCTACCAGGTTCTTTTTTAATTAATATCAACTATCAGTTTCTTAAATCTATGATATGATCTTATAATCACTTATAAAAAGCTGCCATTTTTAATGAATGGAAGGCTGTAAAGAACTGCCATAAATTAACTCTGCAATATGAAATTGCATATTAATTTATGAAGTTATTTTTGCTAAATATCAAATGATAAGGAAGTGAATTTAACTTTTTAGATAAACTGTTGTCAGAGGATTTTTCACTGAAGAAGTCAAACACTTCTTTAATATACCTTTACATATATTAAAAGGACATCTGAACTTTTTGGATACTAATCTGAACACATCAAAAAAGAAACCAAAACCAAAATTTGAGTGCCAACCTAGAAGATACACTAGACTTATAAAATATTACATATTATGCCACATGATCTCTTGGAGTTCAAAAATTCCATCTAATCTAAAATAATATTCTTTATTTAATAAACTCTAAGCAGAATGTTCATAAAACAGTATACAGAACCCTCACACTGAAAGTAGAAATAATAATTTTGGATTGGACTAATGCATGCTAAATCTTTGGAACAGAACCATGTAAGGAAAAACATGCTGGCATCATGCTCCCCTATCAAATAGTTCTAAAATAGATTTTTTTTAATAAGCTGATTTTTAAAGGAGTCACTACAACTAAGGGAGCACAGCTTTACATTTTGTCAATTGCCACATGAAAACTTTTAAACAATTTGATTTGTACTTTGCACAGAGAATTATTGATGGGAAGTAGGAGCCCAAACATTTTAGAGGGATTATTATAGTGGGTGAATCATAAAAACAGCTGCCTAAATGTTTGATTTATAGGGATGTTAAGACTTCAATTCTGGTAAAAATCTGATAGGATCTTAAGAATAAACTTAAAATGTGAAGGTAAAGAGGCATTCTAGACTTTACAAAATTTATGTTTTCAAGTAAAGTGGCATTTACACTTATGTAAGGGGAATGATAGGTTAAATAGTGGAATATATAGTTCAGAAAGCAATGGCAAACTTTAAATCCCTGCGCTCAATTCTTAATTTAAAAAACTTAATTGGTTGAGATGGTTGTGGAGTAAAGAACAGCATTATACTTTTTAGTGTTCATTTTCCCCTGTTTCTCTCCTATTTGGGTGACTCTGATAATTACAGTTCTATGAAATCAAGACTATCAGTGCAGTATTTACCTTTATCCCGGGAAGTCCAGGAAGCCCAGGAAGCCCTGGTTCACCCTACACAGGAAAATCATACAGCATTATAGAATGATATTTGCTCAGTCATAGTATATGGAGAAAAACATGGCAAATGTTCCGAGCTGCATACTTTTGGCATATATAAATACATACAAAAAAAAAAAAAACCTGTTTAGGTTCAAGAAGTCTAAAGAGATGGTGTAGTTCAGTCAACTCTTGATTCAAGGATTGGGTGAACCCTTTGAAGATTTTTCAGGATTTTCCCCTCTTCATGTAGTTTACTGCTATTTAGCATCTCTATCAGAAGGTAAGAATGAGGAGTAAAAGGAAGAGGAACATCTATATGTTTCACTCTTTGGTAAATGGTTTGCTGGAGCTGTTTGCTGAAATGGGGATTATGCATGCACTTAAATAATGCCTCCTATTCCAGGACTCTCACCTCAGATAATCAAGAGTTGGCTGTATGAACAGATGGTCACATCACAGCAATATACATTAAAAGTATTGGTCACTTAAAAGTATAGTAAGATTTCCTTTCCATTCCTGAACGATGAGAGGATAAATAAATGGTTGAGATTGTACTTAACTCTGGTCTGTAGTTCTGACAATTGTTGAGTTGGGGCAACCGTGCTTAGAAGCTTAGGGCTAATGGTACCATGCAGCTGTTCCTGAATACAGGTCTGAGATTAAGTGGTACATATTGCATGAGCATACTGGAGTCAGGCTAAACCTTCTCATTTTCACAGAATTGTCTACATTATTTTAAGCACAAAGTATAGTGGCAAGAGGTTACATTGCTTAGAAAATCTCCTGAATTCCAATAAAGAAGCATAAAGGAACGACAGGAACAAATAAAAAAGTTTGCCCTGAGTTGGGAATGATAACTATGATTTGTGGAAATAACATCTGAAGATAAAAGAATCCATTCCATAACAGCCAGTTAGTGGGACAAAAATCATTCAAAATTACATAGGAACATCAATAAAGTGGGAGAAGGAGGTACTTCTTTAAAAGTATCTCATTCCTTTAAGAATACTCATTCCAAGGTAACTCTAACAAGCACAACCAGATTTTCCATTTTGAATATTAATACTTTCAAGTTATGAAGAGCCATAATTTTCTCTAGTCTTATTATGAAATGATTTCAGATACTGTTTATTAAACTGTGGGATTTAGACCACCAAAAAAAAAAAAAAAAAAAAAAAGACAATGATTTTCTTTATGGTTTAGGTTTAAGGTTTTTCAGGAATGCAAAAGAAAAACTATTCAGTCCAAAACTACATGAATAAAAGTTTGCATTATGAATAAGACTAAAATGAGATTAAGCCAGGAAAGAGAAAATGATTATTAAGAACTTGTTATTCCAAAGACTACTTGTCTGAGTAGATTAAACTTGACACAGTTACATTATACATTTGATTTTCTTTTCTCTTTCCCTTCCACCATTAAATTTAAAAGGCTCTGCTAGGAAAAGCTTGTATACACATTCTGCTGAAAACTCTTTTACTTTAAAAAAACAAAGCATAAGATTTTTGATAACATTTAATTGCAGTAGAATGTATAACCAGTAAAACTATGCATTGTTTTAGAAAAATCTACCAAAATTCATTTTGGATACATTGCACCTGAAACAGTGGTGGTAATATATAGGTAATAACACAATTTTTCAATAAGAATTATCATCTCTCCATTAAAAGTATAGTAAATGAACATACATAATAAACAAACACATACTCCTATTTTCTAATAATAAGAAAGATGTATAAAACATCATGAAATATCTCTTAATGTAAATTAGAGATACATTGAGACTTGAGCATTCAGCCTTTCTCTACATCATATTAAATGTATATACGTATGTGTGGTAGGTAGAAAATATCCTTTTTAGTAAAATATATTTTTGAATCTCATACTTCACAGTCTTGAATTTTTATAAACTGACCTTTCCAAATTTATATTTACTTTGTGTAACTAGCTCACATATGAAAGAATATATTTAACATTATCCTTTGTGGAATATCTCTTGACATTTTTAGGAATACATTTCTTCCTGTATAATTCTCCATCTTTAAACTATGAAAGCTCATCTTCCAACTAAGGGATAGTGTTCAGCAACTTCTCCATCTTGTCTATGCCTTGGCTCAGAGGCTTCTTTCACTGAGTTCTTGGGCATGTAGCCGGTGGGTCAGAATTAAGAATTAATTTGTTATTTCATTCTCAAAATACTTGTTCAAGAGATAAGTCTTTACACATAAATCTTGTCCTTTTGATTCTATTCTTGCTTTCCCTTTTACTCTTCACTCTCCATTGAGAGATCCTCACAATTCGGACTCTGTTTCCCTGCTCATCCCTGCGACAGGGCCCTAGACTTCTAGGGAGAGTTCTGGGGTGAGATCCCTTCTGATGGGAAATCAAGTGACTTGATTTTACAATAAAAACATATGCTTTAAAAAGCTGTAGAGACATTAGGTAGAAAAGAGCTCTGTGATGAAATGCAATGCCTATTTTACAAATCTACACATTCACTCTACAAGCCTATGCACACTCCAACTCACATGCCAATCACACACTCCACTGTTGAAGCTATCAAAGAAAAAAATCCAATGAAATCATTCCTCCATTATGAATATGGAACTAGATGTCACACAGTGGGCTTCCTGCTGGGCTTATGCTGTGTCATGACAATTTGTACTTTTCTGGGAATGCCCTAAATTTAGGGGCATTAGTGCCATTGAACTCACAGTTCTGTAATGTGAGAAAAATGCCATGGAAGATCTCTAGAACTGACCCTGTACTCATTTTAACCTGAGCACCAAGCATGGAAATCTTTACTTTTAAATCAACCTTGGGATAAGCATTGCCAACTGACGATATCAGACACAGAAGTCATATTGGGAAAGTGAGATTGTATCAAAGGGTAGAATTTGGTCATTTCAGGACACATATTAACTAAGAAGGGTTGTAAGATTTTAAATGAATCTACCCTCTTCCAATGTAACCCAAAACTGATTTTTTAATGAAATGCAAAGGAAATCCAATGTTTCTATGTGTAAACCTAAAAGCTTCCAGAATTAGTCTAAATTTGATTTCTAATTAATCATGATAAGGCAATGTTTTATTAAGAAACTGAAGATCAATTTGGTTCTTCCACTCTGAAAAAAAGTGAACCCTATACAATATTATAGCAGAGTTTCTTTTGGCTTGTATTTTAGAGACACAAGAATCTTGCAGACATTTCTTTGAGCAAATCACAGATTTGTAGAACAACTGAAACATAGACTTTAATTTGTAAAGACTAAGGGACCTAAAATTAGATCATCTGAGAAGATTAATTGCCTTTTCAAAACAAAGCAGACCATGGATCTCTGACTGTATCACTAACTCCAAATTTTTAAAATGAAGATCAGAAGAATAGGAATTAAACAGTAAAATTTGCAGAGTTCCTTTGGGCTCTTTGGAAAAGCCTCAAATTTACCTGGAACTGGGCCTGATGAATCATTACTCTGAGATTCTTAGTTTCAAAAGAAAAATATGTCTTTAAATTAGAGAAATGTTAAAAGAATATGAGAGACCTTTTCATAAATTACTTCCATCCTAAGTTCTTTTTAAAAATAAAGCTCTCTCGATGACTTTAAGAATGTTTGAGACATAGCAAAACCATGGTTTGCATGCCTTAAAGTTCCAAACTACTATAATGGAATTTATTCTTTCTTTCCATTTCTACTAATGAAATAAATTATATATTTTTGTTCCTTTTTTTTTTTTTTTTTGCTACCACATCAGCTACTGATGGACAAAGGCAGAGAAATGATCTTAAGAGATTTTGCTTAATGTGGAATTCACATTTCCTTGTTAGCTACATCCATTTGTTATCGGAAATCCAAGTGCACTGGGCACTGATATCCAGATGCTCAGACGATAAACTGCTAACACTTGTTTCCTGCCTCAGACTCAGAGGAGAATATGAATCTAAACATAGTCACTGTGTGTTCTTTAATGTGTTGCTCAAGTGAAACAACAAATGATAATCCAAGCTATAGTTAGTTACATTGGTGTGGCTAGTGTCTCTAATTAAATTTTAGTTTTTAACAAATTTAGTTTGCTAACGCAATAAGAAAGACACAGGTAGAGTTGCATAAAAAATGTCAGAAGGAAAGTACTGGCAATGAACAGAAAAGGAGTATAAATTTTAAAGATCTGTCCAGCACTCTCTATTAAGTCAGTTTAGTAAACACTCATTTCTTCTCATGAAAGAAAGACACATGCAGATTACCTTTAAACATGCAAGATAAGTTGCGGGAGTCCAACCCAACAGATCTTTGTTAGTTTCAGACAGCTGAGTATATGTAGATTTTAGTTCATAAAACATCCTTTTACAAGGACAGATTTGTTTTCACATTTTGCAATGATTAGCATCAAGACTGTTTAAAATGCAAAATGAGGCTTAGCATGTAGCTCAGTGGCAGAGCACTTGCTTAGCATGCAAAAGGCTCACTCTGGGGTCAATTCTCAGCAACACAAAAACAAAATAGAAAAATAAAATAAAATGTACACCAACCAATAACACTCTGTATGCAAAGCATGAATGCTACATCATTTTGCAATAATCATTTTCATGTTATGTAATGAATCATAATTATACAAAGAACACACTGGAGATAGAGATATTACCTTTTGCCCTGGACGACCAGATTCTCCAGGTTCTCCCTGGACAAAGGAAACCAAAGGTGAAAAGAGCAGTCTTACAAGAATATTCTAAAAACTTTAGACCTCTGGGTACTTTCACAGAGATGGCCCAAGCTCCTTCTTGATCATAAGTCTTGACCACAAGTAGACTGATTTAATGTAAATCCACATTTCATAAAACCATTCAGAAAGGGAAAAGAAGTCAAGCCCACTTATTTAAACTTCATTGTATTTCCCACAAATATCCCTGTTGTGTTTGGAAGCTGATTATCGAGGTAAATAGGAACAGAACAATAACCGTCAATGTTGGTAAAAGGGGAGAGAAAGTAGAGGCTTAGAAAATCAAAACTGTGATCCCTGTGGTACAAACACTTGCATGCCTATAGTTACCTTAATTCCTGCAGCAGATGATCCAGGGTCACCCTAAAATGAAACCCATGAGAGGTTATGCCACAAGTTATGGAAAGAGGAAACACTGCACACACCTAGAGGCTGTTATTGACATGGACACTCAAAGGGATTCCATGACCGACAGACCTAACATGCTCCATGAGACTTTATCCCAGTACATCAGCAATTAAGATGGTAATGATGTCTAAGATAAACAATGCACTTCCTACAAACACAGCTTTACCTTGAATGCAAACTATATCAGGATTATATTCCTTGAAGCAAGTACAATGATAGAAATGTGAATCTCTTCCCTTGATACAGTGCTAAAAAAAAAAAACCATTCTGGAGCAATAAAATTACAATTTAGGGATCTGGAATGTTCTGTTTTCTCTATTTCTGGAGTTTATTAATGTCAGTAGCCATCATTTACAGGGAGCTCTCTGGCCCTTTAGTTATTGGAAAGTCAAGGTTCAGCGGATGAAGTCAAAGGGTTAATGATGTCGAGCTGGAAAAGCCGCGCAGCAGATCAGCAGATCCGTTTGTTTTCCTCATGAAGCTCTGTCGCAGTTGCAACCAGCATGCTTTTCCCAGCTTTACACTTATTTCACTGTAACTCGGTCACTGGGAAGTTACAGGATGATGGATGACTTGTGGGTGATGGGGACACAAGTAAGCTCTGAGACAGTCTCGAGACAGAATCTGGTGTTTTAAAAGGCACCGTGTTCCATCCAGACTTTATAGAGGGGCCCTTCATTTGTTTCTAAACCTGCTGCATTATAAATAAGCAGAGGGGCTCATGGAGAGAAGAGTATGGAGGATAACTGGGGATGAGGTCAGCCAAGGGCCTACATGTTCAAACTCCTTTTAGCCCTCTATTCCATGAACATGCTAGGAGGACAAAGATAAGGAGAAAACTTAGTTGTCTGAGATTGTCAAGAAAAGAGAGAGCCACAGGAGGAAGCACATCTCAGGATGTCCTCAGCTGACTTGTCTGTACAAATGCTCATGCAGCTCTAGGGGTCTGTTTGCTTGTTCTAGATTCCAGAAGCTGCTCATCAATCTCTTTTAGAGATGGAGATAGGCCTCGGGCCTCTGTGCATGGGGTAATTGTCCTCCTCCCTCATTTCCTCGCCCTTCTTTCTATGTGGCACCATCTCTTTCTTCAGATCTGGGCTTAAATGGCTTTGCCTCAAAGAACCCTTCACTGACCAGCCTAGGCAGATCTGACTGTGTAAGGTTACTCTCTGTTCACGTCAGCACAGCTTGCTTTGTAGCTGCCTGCTTATGGTTTTTGTGTATTCAATGTCTATCCTTCCTTTAGACAGTCAGCTGCATATGAGCAGATTCTGTGCTTTTATTCACAGATACCTGGCCATAGGATGTGCTCAATACATAGTTGGGGAAATGATGAACAAATCTTAAAAAGATTTTTTTTTTTAAACAGATCAGCAGTCAAGGATCAAAATGAAAAAAAAAAAAACTTTTAGGAAGGAAAAAAGAAAACTTAGGAAGGAGAAGGAAATAGTAAATTAGCTTGTTGAGGAAAGAATATATATGAGTTTCTTGGACATCTGTAATTGCTATTACCTAAGGAAAATATTAAAATGTGGCTAAACAAAGAAGGCGAAGACTCTGAATCCTGTCTTTCTGTACAATGATACTCCTTTTCTTCCCAAGCATTAACATCCAATTGAGTTCCAAAGGGGAAGCGAAATAAATGTGGCTAATAAAACAAAACTTATTTCTATTTCTACAGAACACAGTCTGAAAGCCATCAACACTAACAAAGCAGGTTTGCAACATTTTGTGTAATAAGACCTTTGAATGCATAAAAGCAATTTTGGCTTCACAAAGTTCCTCCTTTCATCTTGTTTTTGCCTTAAAAAACTATAGGCAAATATTATTGGCATGGGCAAATATTATTATTTCCATTTCGTAGGTGAGAATGTTGAAGCAAGTAGACGCAAAGTGAATTTGGGGCTTCCTAAATCTACTGCCACGTTCTTTTTGTTAGAATAAGAAAGGAATTGTTGGCTCATTTCATTTTGACAACAGGGCATAGAGTAAATTTGTAAATAATAGGAAGTTGCTTGTTTTAATTGTAGTTTCTTACCAGTGTTTTAATGAAAAGTGGTTAGATAATCCACTATATGACAATAGAGACTAGATTTAATTCTCAAAGAAAGTGGCTGAAGAGAAAAGGGCAACTTTCTGAAGGGCTGGTTTCCTTGAGAAATCTGAGAAGTTTCATTTGATGGACAACTAAAAGTGATATATTTTTTTTTCTCTTTTTAAAGATTTAGAACTGTGAAATCTCCCGGAATTTTTATAACTTTTAAGTGGGAAGGCAACTGCTGGAAGACATTCATAAGTTCAACATTTTAAAGGATAATGCTGCAAGTCATGGAAATAATATGTGTTTATAATCCTCCTCTCCCAAAGTGAAAATGAATACGGGATTAAAGTAGAAAAAAACCCTCCAACTATGTCTTTTTTGTGTGGGGGTGGGGTACCGGGGATTGAACTCAGGGGTACTTGACCACTGAACCATATCCTCAGTCCTATTTTGTATTTTATGTAGAGACAGGGTCTCACTGAGTTGCTTAGTGCCTCCGTTTTGCTGAGGCTGGCTTTGAACTTGCACTCCTCCTGTCTCAGCCTCCCAAGCCCCTGGGATTATAGGTGTGTGCCACTGCCCCCAACTATGTCTTAAGTATACTCCTAGCTTCATAAGTTGACTGATTCACAGAGAGAAATTTCCATAGGATAAGTCACAGATGGGGAAATACTGGGAAGATATCAGATATAAATATGCTTTGTTTGTGATTATTTTCAAATATGCTGAGTAACTAATTGTAATAGTTACAATTAGATGTGCTAATAAAGCATATGTAGATATACAAAATGAATGTGATGATTTATTGATATAATTCATTCACTTATCCCATAGAAACTTAATAGAGCACCAAATATGTATCAGGCATGTTCTGGAATCAGGGATTTAGGGAGCTGAGGAGACAACACAGAACAATGCAGTTACAATCCCTGACCTTGTTATACTGTATATATGATTAAAAAATTATTTATTGAAAAATATTTTCTTATTCTTTCTATTTTAAAATCCAGGACAGGAGGGGCTGGAGTTGTAGCTCAGTGGTTGAGCACTTGTCTTGCAAGTAGGAAGCACTGGGTTTTATCCTAGCACCACATAAAAACAAATAAAGGCATTGAGTCCAAACACAACTAAAAAAATTAAAAAGAAAAAAATTCAGGACAGAAAAAAACTACCATGTTAGGAAGATTCCATTTCACTGTGTACATACAGAAAATGTGATAAGCAAATGCACAATACAGGAACAATTTTATCCATTCAATGAGAATATGAAACAGTTCAAGAGTAAAAAAATACTAAAATTTTTCATTTACTAAAGGAATAAATTCAATATTTATTACCTTCTAACTATATGCTAGGACCTTGGACTAGTGATGGGAATAAAACAGTCTAGCTGTTTTTGTTTTGTTTTTTTTCTTTTTCCATGAGCTGTATTAAAAATTGGAAATTTTAGTAAACCACAAAAAGGATTGTGAAATGAATTCTAAGGAGCTGTGCTGGAACAAAGAGTAGATGACCTAACCAATCCAGAGGAGGATGAAAGGTTGCCCCAGTGAAATGATTTCTAAATTCAGTTTTCACTGTATTGAAGAATGACTAAGATTAGAAAATGAAAAAATGGAGGTGAGGATTTGGGGAGAGGAGGTCAGAGAGCAAATGTTGGCAACAGTGGCAAAGAATAACATGAGCTAAATTAGAAAAAAACAAAACAAAACAAAACCAGAACTGATTGTTGTGGGAATATCCACAGAGATAGGACTTCAGGTGTGATTTCAGGAAGAGACAATAATTTGGTTGGTAGCTCCAAAATGACGTTACTTCTGCAAAGGCTCAGAGGATGCAAATCAAAGATGGGAAGTGAATGTAAAATAAGAATACAGTGTGTTCGTAGTAAGAACTGAAGAATGAAGAAACAGATAGTCAGTGCCAAGAAAATGCATGTGGTGATCTTTCCCAGCAGATAAAAGGGTGAAGAATTGTGTGACACGGTCAAACTGTTCACTGGGATGCATAGACATCTACTTTCAAGTGGGTGAAAATAGATAAGAAATCCATTTGTACATTTGGTTGTGGGATTAACACTCAAAAGAGTTGAACACAACCACCGTAAACCTTCCCATAGTAACTCCACACATGATTAAAACCAGTCTTTGGCAAGTTGCTCCTAAACCTGGAGTATACCGTAGTTGCTGACCACAGAGAAAACCCAGCCCAGTGGCTTTTATATTATAATTCCACAACATTTCCAGATGACCAGTCTGGAAAGGCTTAGATTGCTTTACCATCCAAAGGCACTGAGTTGGATCAAAAAGAAAAAAATAATATCCTATTAAAGTGAATCAGTCAATGATGTAATTTACTACATCAATGGCAGAAAAGGAGCATTTTAAAAAATTTTACATCTCAAACTTGGTAAATGATGAATGAGTTTTACATAGTGAACACAAAGGCCACAAGGAGAGTGTTTCCAACATGCTGGAAACAAATTATATGACAGAAGCAGGAAATGTTTAAAAAACACATCAAAAATTATATTCCAATTACAGCATTCTTGGGATGAATGCTACAGGTCAGATTACATATTATACGTGTTACAGATTCCTATTTACAATCCCCTGTTTAGACCCATTGAAAGTTTATAGAAATGATTTCCGTTCTAACTGAGGCATTTCTTGTTCTTAATTTCAGCTGACTAGTAAAACTTTTTTTATATTAAAAAAAAAAGAAAAACGACCAATCTTGTTGATTTCTAGTTCCATGTGGTAAGAAAAGCTAATATTTATTGAAAGTTTATGATGTGTGAGTCAGTATGGTAAATGATTTGCATTAATATATAAAGTAAGAACAGTATTCCTTTGAGATAACTTGGTCTTTTCAAAGAAAAAAGTTGCCACCCTATTGTAAAATTAAATTTCAAAACGTGTGATTAAAGAAACAAATATTGACCTATGTTCCAAAGATGCAGCTTTAAAAATACATCTTCTAAAGCATAAAATCCTCTATATAAATCCAAATAGGCAGAGTTCAGACTTGGTATACACTTTTTCACTTGAAGAAATTGCTCTGTGTAGAATATTTCCTTTCTTTCAGGCAGAGGTTGGCAACAGTGGCCAAATCCAGTTGGCCACCTGTAAGGCCCTTGAGCCAAGAATAGTTTTTACATTTTTAAATGGGTAAAAAAAAAAACACCCAATATTTCATGACACATGAAAATTATATAAGAATAAAAGTTCTGTGTCCAGGAATAAAGTTTTATTGGAACACAGCCACACTCATTGTTGACATGTTGTCCGTGGCTGTGTTCACGCTACAGCAGAGCTGAAGAGCTTATGACAGAGACCATATGGCCCGCAAAGACTTAAAATATTTATTTTCTGGCCCTTTACTGAAGAAGTTGGCTGACCTCTGCTTTTAAGAAGAACCAAGAAAATTAAACATAACATCACCTAAGTTTATACATTTAGGGTTTCAAATTTTGATTTTGAGAGTAGTCAGCTTCTAACCTTGGCCTCAAATGCATCAAAAAGTTTCATGTCATCTGATGGCATCATGGTACTTAAAATTTGGCAGATCAATAGAATGGGTCTCCATCAGTGGAACAGATGTAGGGTGAATTTGTACTGCAGGGAACATCTGGAAATGTGTGGACATGTGTCTTTGTTGCAACTCAGGGGTGCCACTGGCATCTAGCAGGTAGAAGTCAAGAGTGACTGAACATCAGCCAACTCCTACAATAGAGAATTACCTGGCTCAGAATGTCAATAGTGCAGAGGCCAAGAGACCCTAACCTGTAGTTTCTTGTAGGAAACTAAAAGTCCTCTCTAACCTCTAGACTGTTCCTCAAATACAAACACAATTGTGGTGACATAGATTCAACCCCACTCCATGCCATATTTACATTAATATTTATGAGAAGAAAGATAATTCTTTTTTTGTTTTATGAATATGTTTTTATGACTGACCATTACCCATCTGTACTATAATAACTTCTAAAGTTGAATGTTTCATTCTCAACTATAAGCCTAAGTAAATAATGCTTTTAATCACCAATTTATTTAGCCTGATTTATGCTAAAAATTCACCTGATTCTATTTTAGATTTGGTTTCTTGAAAGATTTTCTTGATCTTAACATGGTCAAGGTGAAGTGAAATATCAAGGTCAGAAACGTTCTGATGTCAGATGTCAAAGGATGAATCCAAGCAAATGCTACAATGATGGAGCGGAAGGAAAAAAGAGGGAGGCAAGAAGACAGACCATGGACCACTGCACTATACCTGCAGATCATGGTTTAAAAGGCAAGGGGAGGAGAGAGACAACAGAGAGACAAAATACACAGATTTAGTGGGTTCCACGTCGAGGCAAATTTTCAAGATTGCTTTAAAGGATGTAATCAGGGGATATTCATTTATAATCAAACTTTAAAATTTCATACCAATCATCTGACATGTTCTCTCCTTAAATTGGGACAAACTAAGTCACTTTAGGAACTCTATGTTATAGCCCTGTGTATAAAGGGAGCATTCAGGACAAGTCTTTTTCTTCCTTGAAAGCCACATTACTGGAACTTAGCTATGCATTTTCTAGCATTCTGGATACATTGTTTTGCTTTCAAATTATTTAAATTTGTGGGAAAGATTCAAATTAATCACTTTTTTTTTTATAAATCACACATTTAAATGTCTTTTAATCAAATATTTAAATGTCTTCTAATCTTAGAGAACTATCTCTGATCTTATGTTAGGATACTCTGACGCATTGCTCTCAAAACCTCCCATTTTCATACACACGAAATAACAGTTTTGCTCCTACGAATGCCCTTTCATATCTCATAAAACTGTACCTTTTCGCCCGTGTCACCTTTGGGGCCACTTTCTCCGGTATCTCCCTGAGGAGGGGAAAAAAGTGAGACATGTAAGACATATTGGTGCCACAAAACAAAGAGTAGTTTTCATTCAAACACACCATAGAAAGAAATCTGTTGCAAATGTTCTACAGAGGTAATGTACTTTTACCTGACCAGCTGCCTGATTTCAATACAATTAATTTTATTACAATGAAATGGCTGAACAGTTTTAAACTCATAAGATTAACAAGGAAGCAGTAATTTATCAGTCTGCCTTTTAATAGCATATTTGGACATTTAAGCCTCTTCGGTCTGCTTCTTTTCTCCTCTGCTTAAAGCTCCTCTTTAATGAAGTCTTTTTTTTTTTTTCCTGACAGTTCTCTTAGTAAGTCATGCTACTCATGTCTTGCCACCTCAGTATTCTTCTCTGTGCCACACCTGCCCCTGGACTCTCAGCCTCTCTTTTCCCTTTTGTTAGTATAAATTCTACCCTCTCTTCAAACCAATCTTAGCTCTCCAGGGCCTCAAAATGCATGACGGGGCTTTCAAAGCTTGTGGACTGAGCATTTATTTATTTGGCACTACATCATACTCTAGATCTTTTGTGCAAACACAAAAGAGTTGCACTTGTGAAATGAAAGTTTACATATTTTATTAGAAAACTATTTTTATAAATCCTAATAAAATGAGTTTGAGGAGTTTATGCTTTGATATTTTTAAGTCTTCTTATGCTTATTTCCTGGTATCTCCTTTCTACCCACAATGCAATGCCACTGGGGGAAAAAGAATTCATTTATGCTGTATGCTTTGCCTCCTTAAATTCTGAATTCTTGAATCTAAGCTTTACAGCATAGCATGTTCAAGGGGAAATGTCATGGATTTGGAGCTAGGACGAGAGTGTCCAGCTCTGGCATTACTGGGCGGATGAAATTCTCTTAGCATCCAGAGTCTCTTGTGTAATGTGAGGATAAGAACACTTTGTGCAACTTTAATAAATAAGTGACATCCTGTGTGTAGAGCAACTAGGGCATATCTGGTATATTCCAGGCCATTAGTGAGAGCTGCTATGATAACAATGCACAATTGTTCATGTGTTCCACAGGGTGGAATGCACTGCTCTCCAGCTTTGTAAGAGGTTCACCTTTCCATCATTTAAAGAGTTCCTCAAAATAAGAGGATAGTTTCTTGGGGCAGAGGAAGTAGAAGAGGGAGATTCCATTTTTTCCCTCCATGTTTTCTTTTATTGTTTTAAATAAGCATGAAATTTACGGTGATACTCTACAGTGGACTGTGCGAGATGCTGACACCATCTGATGAGACTCCAGAAGGATGCTGCCATTATTCCCTCTCCCTCCTGAATTTCAACACAAAACAATCACCTGATGACTAATTAATTTTAAGTTAATTACCATGAACTATTTGATGCCAAATAAATGTAATCTATTATGAGGGGACTTTGACAGGCAGTTTATTTGTATGTTTTTTAAAAAATTGTAGAAAATCCTTTTATTAAAAAACAAACCTAATTAGGTTTGAGTGGTTATTAAGATAAGGGTGTGACTGAGCTGTCCTTTCATGAAATTGCTTTTACACACCTCTATTTTGTTCCATTTAAATATGTTTTTTCTCTTTTTTCTTTACAATGCTTAAACATACAGTTGCATTAAAGAGTGTGTGTGTGTGTGTATTTTATCTTTAGATGAATTTCTTTTGAGCTTAGGGGTTACAATATTAACTTATCAGAAATATCCTAACACTTAGGAAGAGTATAATGTAAAGTGATGGTTGTTTCCCACTCAGCACATTCTCAAGCACTATTAAATAGCATGAGAACCAGGAAAATAAGCACCACCATATTCACTGAGAGTCGAAGTCATCAGGGTGGGCCCAAAGGTAGTAAGGAAAGGAGTCTAACAGAAATTGAACATGCAGCAACCTGCTTCTCCTTTTGTTTCTCTTTCTGGTTTTATGAGAATTCTTTGTGGGACAACTTTCAGATAATTGTTGCAGGTAAACCATCTGTATCCCTTTAACCTCATACCCAAGAAGCCGTAGAGAGAGATGTAGATGCTTAGAAGAGTACTGGCCTGGCATTAGCAAGTGAGCATAAGAGTGATTTTGTACGCCTAGGGAGTTATGAAAGCCATTTAAAGTCTGTCATAGGAGTTTCAATTTGCTCCCCTTTTCTCCATTTCTTTAAATATTTTACTCAAATTTTGCTGTACACAAGAATTACTCTATTTTCTTCTTTCCCCAATTAACAGTTTAAAAACAGACAAATGAATATAGTTATTAACTGTCCCCCACCCCCGTCTATCATATCTGTCTGTATGTCCATCCATCCATCATCCCTCCATCCATTCATCCAGTTCAGCTGGGTACTTCTTGGGAGGAAAAAAGTTAAACACAGGTAGAATCATACCTTTTCTCCTTGTTCTCCAGGTTCTCCCTGAGCAAAAGAACAAAGATTGAGTAACATTAAATGACAAAACACCTAATTAAATAACATTGAACAAACCAGATATTGAACACATTAGGTGAATTATGTATGGTACTTTCTTTTTTGTTATATATAGTTTCTATAGGGAAAAAAAAGGTATGATGAGTTTCCTGCAGAACTGGGTATGGATATCAATACCATATGTACTCTTAATTCTTGGCTTTTACAGAAATAAAGACATGTGCAGTGTTTCAAGATGATCCAGGCACAGGCTGGGCCACTGAGGAGCAGAAGAGGGTGACAGTTCAGTATCTGGAGAGACTTCTTAATCTGCTGCTTTTTATTCTGTCCAAACTCTAGCATGTCCTTCCACAAAACCCTTCACACAAAGCATCTCCGGGTGTGAGGATTATTCCAGGGACTGGAGTTCCAGTGTGGTTCACCAATCTGTCTTTTCCTAACAGGATCATAAACCTGAGATCCTGAACTCAGACCCCTTCACAGTGTCACATACTCCCTCTAACTGTTGATAACTAGCATTTTCTAGTTGAGGGATATTTTAGGAGGTACGAGTTCTTTCAAGGAAGACATTAGAAAGGGGCAGAATTTCAGTGAGTTTTGAAGAGATATCCTTAATTGAAATGATGACCCCAAAGACACGAAAACTACAATGCTCTGAAAAGAATTTCATTTTCACTTTACCCAGGAAAGGACAGGAGATGGAGTGGGAAAGTTCTAAAGTCCATCATACACATTATGATAATATTTCCAGCTGAAAAGATTGAGGGTTGCCATGAGATGAGACTGCTTTTTAAAAAATGGTATAAGGCAATTATTGTGAGGTTTTTTGTTTTTTGTTTTTTAAATGAAAATATAACCTACTCTAGAAGTCAGTTTGAAGGCAAGACCCTTTTCATTCTCCGGAACTCAACCTGAGCCTTTGGCTCTCTGAATCTCTGGCCACCTTCACTTTGAAACATCCGTCCTGATGTCGGGTCGCTAGGCAACACAAGAATAGCACTGTGAATATGCATTAAGCATTAACTCCCATCATTTGGCTTTTTAACATGGAGCAAGAGAGGGAAGAAGACAGGAAAACAACTATAGTCCCAGAAGGCACATTTTCTTCCCTCCCCTGCAGGACAAAGGACAGGTCTATAAATTTTAGATCTGTCTGAGGCGCCTGTCAATAGCAATGTGATCTGTAAAATCAGCTGACAGGCATCTGTGGGTAGGGATACGCACCAGCACAGCTGATGGGATTAGGCATTAGTTTTGTACTTCAAGGGATGTTCACTCATCAAAGGATTTGGGATTTGTCTGCCTGTTTGGTTTAAACTAAATTGTCACCAATCTTTTTATATTTAACAGATTCATTTGTTCTTTAAGAAACAAAGAAAACATGTGATCCAAAAAAAATCTTCGTTACATTTTTTCCCTATTTAGTAATTCAGAGCTACATTCATTTTTAAATTTTTACATGCCACATCTTTATTCTGCTCTTCATCTGATTAACTGGTTGTGTTGAGGAGAAGCTGAAGGTGGCCGATCTTGAGGAAAAGCCACAGTGGCATAGCGAACATCATCTTTAGGAAGGTTTGTAAATATGTATATGTTAGGCAGTATGTAGGGGACTTATGTTTTTATATGCTCATGAAATGGTAAAATGACAATAGTCATATTGAAATAGGGGTTTTCTTATGTTAATTATCCCAGAATTAAGATTTTAGACAATCATATCCTATTTGTTTTTCTGCCTTTTTAACTTAACAGTAATAAAAATCACAAATATAATTTATTCATTAGTCACAAAGTTCTATACTGTAGCATATTATACTATTGACAAAAAAATTCCACCCGAGTGCCATCAGAAGGATATAAAAAAAATTGTGATAGCTACAATCTGATGGAAATCCATGAGTTGAATGATTCTTTTTGGCTTTATTTGTACTAACCTTTGGCCCCGGGATTCCATTCTGTCCTACTGCTCCAGGCAACCCAGGCTCACCCTCAAAATGAAAAACAGATATCACTAAGTAAAACAGACAAAATCAGCACATCAGGTAGCTAGAGGAGGTAACCATTCAATAATGCTGTAGAAAAAGAGAAAAATGACTGTTACTGTAATCACAAGTTAGCTTATACAATCCAAAATTCTATGTGATAGAGAGCAAGGTATATAACAGGATTAATTAATTTATTTTTTATTTTATAATTATTACATAATATAATAATTGTATTATTTTTATCAGTAAGAAAGATGAAGGGACTGACCCATGGAGTTAATATCTAGCAATGGTACTAGGTACAGCATATACATCATATAAGTACTGGTTGAATGAATAAAAGATCCTTGAAAATATAAGACACTTAAGATGGAGAACTTTTAAGAGATTAGCTCACAAAAATAAAGATTAAATCATAATATTTTCATATTAGATTTAATCAAATGAACATTTGTAAATCTAAATCTTGAAGAAGACACATCTTTGAATACCGACTTAATGTATTTAGACACATTTGATACAAAAGTTAAAAGTAAAAATGGCTTTGATTTCTTTTTTCCAATATCATTGTAAAAATAATTAGAATAACATATTTGGACTTAAGGGCTCTCATTCTCATATTGAAAGGGAGACTTTTGGCGGGGGGTGGGGTGGGAGGGAGATGATGGCTATTAATCTAGAAAAATTATCCCTCTAAGAAAGGTGATGATGTCTACTAGTCTTTCTGGATTTGCAACCAGCAATGATTTTCCAAAGAAGAGAAAAGAAAGTCCCATAAAGTACCCAGAATCAAAAGAAACCCACCGACCTTGTGCATTTCTGCTGCTAGTTGATTCCAACTTAGATCCATGAGAATCTCATTTTAAAACACCTGCAAAGCCCTTTCCTGTATGCTCCAACTAGTGGACAACTTCCTTCCACTGAGGGTGATAAAGTTGTTTTTTAGTTGATTTTTTTTAAACAGATTGATTTTTAGAGCAGTTTTAGGTTTAAGTTACAGAGTTAAGTGATTTTAAAGAACACTTTCTAAGTCATCTAAAGGGTAGGAATTGGGAGATTTTTATATTTGTGTTCTTAGCCTCAAAAATATGTACATTAATAATGAAGTAACATTTTTTTAATGTGCCAAGATCTTTACATTCATTAATTCAATTAGTTCTCAGAAGCTTCTATGTAGTACTACTGTTGTCTATTTTATACGTGAAGAAACTAAGGAATAAAAAAGTAATTTGTCCAGATTTACATAAATATAATCAGGATTTGAATTCATGATCTGGCTTAAAAGGTGGGACTTTTAACACTGATGAATGAATGTATCTAGAAACTGAGAGAGAGAGGATAATGAATATTTCTGTCTTCATTGTATTTGGTTTATATGTCCCATTTAGAAATGACTTTCCAGAATGTACAGAAACCTAAATTAAATATAATTTACCTAAAGATAATTCATGCATTCCTACCAGATTAATCTAAGCCATGTGAAGCTTGTGGTCTCTTTCTAGAAGAGTGAAAAATATCTTACTATTGTGCTGGATTATTATAATTGCTGAGGTCTTAACCTTCTGGAAGAAATTCGACTTCCTGCCTAAAATCACACTGTGATGGCAACTCTTGCACTTTCCTTGGTAAAATGACAAAATTGTTGACTTAGAATAATGATGGCCATTATGGGAAAATTTTGATATGCCATTTGTATGTAACAAAAGGATAAGAACTTGGAAACAGAATACACCCTGAAAGAGGACTATCATTTACTGTGGAACTAGAAAAAGAGCTATTGAGTCTGCTTTCTTCAAAGAATCCACAACAGGATGCACTAATATCATAACTCATGGTTTAATGCAAATAAGAGATGCTGCCAGGGAACAATGAAAACTTTGTTTAGACTTTCAAAGAATAACCATGGTAGCCAGAGTTACTTTAAAAAAAAAAAAAGGGTTAAGCCCTTTGGAACCAGACAAAATTCATGCTGAGATTTCAAGCAAGGAAGAGAAATGTTGCTTAAGTATCTGCCTAACATTCTCCTTAATATATGAACATCAAGGGACTAAAATTTGATCCCCTTTTCTCTTTGATTTTACATATTTCTAAAATAACCTTTAACCTAAGATGAAATAAAAAATTGCACCAATAATCTCATCACCTTTATGACTATTTTCATTTTGTCCTGTTTCCGTAGTCTTTTTTTTTAAACTTACATATTTCCAAGCAATTGAAAGTATATTACATAGTTTAATGTTCTGATTTTTGTTCATAACACATGTGTTTTCACATGATATTCACTACTGTCTTGTGAACAGGTTGATTATCCTCTATCAAAGCCAAGTGTGATCATTTGTTTAATTGGTCCCACATTGTTGAATACTCAGGTTGAATATTCTATCCAAATTTTTATTGTCAAACTAAAGTAAATACCTTTGTAAACATGCTCATATTTTTCTGTCAAATTTTTAATTATGATAAATGCCCTGGATTTATGTTTTAGTCACTGGAAACATTATGGCCCTAACTGCATGTTTCTAAATTGCTTTCTAAGAGCATTCTGAGTTTTATTTGCTTTGATAGGCATCTATTCTGTATTAGTTTTTCATAGCTTCATCAACATTGGATATTACAATTTTAATTCTCTTTGTGGCTGCTTAATAAGCCTAAATAAGAGCACACTGCTGTTCAATTTGACATTTCTTTTTCACTTTCTAGTTAAATATTTTCTCATGAGTTTATGATATAAATAGATTCATAGGACTTTAAGTCTGGATACTGAAGAAAACTGTTACTTGAATGAATCAAAGGGAGATGATAAGAAGAAAAAATGACTCATAGCATTTTACCTTTAATAAATAGTATCAAGAAAAATACATCCCAAGTCAGATGAGGGTGCCTTGGAGCATTCTATGTCTCCTAGGGAGTGTGAAAGGAATGTTCAAGCTGAAGTGCTGTTCAACTCTGAGAACCAAAATTAAAAACTTTTATGCTGCACAGTTTACTCATTAATAAAATGAAAATATCACTGATAAAATGGGAGAAAATATTCCAAATCATACATTTGATAAGGACTTATATCTAGAATATATACAAAGATCTCTTAAAAGTCAGTAATAAAAATGTACCTTAATTTGTTCCATTTCAAGTACTCTTTATTTCTTTGCATCAATCTAGGATTTTGTCTGATACCACATTTCTTCTTAACTGAAGAATTTCTTATAACTTACAGAGTATTTCATATTTTTGTGTTTGAGAACATGTTGATTGAGCCTTCATTTTTAAACGTATTTTTTCTAACTTTAAAGATTCTGTGTTTAAAATGTTTTATTTTATTTTATTTTATTTCGACACTTTAAAATTGTCACTCATTGTCTTCTGGTTTGCATGGTTTCTGACAAGAAGTCTACTGTAATTCTTACTTTTCCTCTTTTAGGTAATGTCTTTTTTTTTTTTCCCCCTTAGGATGTCTCAAGATTTTTTCTTTGTGTTTTATTGTCAGCAGGTTCAACATTAATTCCATCTAAATTTCACCTGGCTTCTTTCAATAAATTGACAAGCTGATCAAAAATTTCATATGTAAATTTAAGAAATCCACAGTAGCTAAAACAACTTGCCTAGATTTTAAACCTAGGTGGGTGTTTGGGGCAGGGGGACATTATTCACTTTTTGTTTGAGTATTTTTATTGCTTGGCATTCTCAGCTTCTTTCATCTGTGGTTTAGTATATGTCATTAAATTTTGAAAGTTCTAAGCCATTATTTTGTCAAATATTTCTTCTGTCTCTATGTCTGTTTTCCCTCTGATGTTTCAATTGTGCATAGGGGAATGACTCTAGCTTCCTACATCCCATATGGAAATCAGAAATTCCTCAGGGAGAAAAAAACAAACATGGTATCGAACATTTACATACTAGGAAAAGCCTTACAGAATTTTCTCATCTACTTCTTAAGCTTACAGCAATGTCCCTTTGTTCCTGGGCACTTCCATTAAACAAATGCTCAATAAAAAAAAGGGTCAGAATTTGATTTAATCATAAAAAAACCCAAAGCTAAGCTATGCGATCCTGAAAGGCATGAATTCATTCACCTAAGAGCTAGAGAAAATCCACTGCATGTTCTTCAGTGGTCTGAGAATTTCATGGGCTATAAAAGATGAGACATGACAGGTGCCTATACTCAAAGCTCATTTTTGAGTAAGAAAAAAAGACATATACATAATAACTGAAGGAGACATCTAATTGAGTTTGTGGTTATTTTGTTATTGGTTTTTTTTTTCTTTTTTTGAGCAAAGTTTTCTTACAGCTCATGAAGAGGCATAATAAATAGAAATCAAAGCATAATCTTAATGAGGAATGAACTATGTCCTGTAGTGTATTAATTTGTTCCAATATATGAAGACAAAATTATCATGAGTCCCCTTCAAATAAAGTTTTAATAATATTATACAATTATATAATAGTAAAACATGTCATATAACAGAAACATACACATATCAGAAAGGTACAAAAACAGGAACTAGGCTGTGTGTGTGTGTGTGTGTGTGTGTACAAGTGTGTGTAGCTAGTCTCATGTTTATTGGACAACCTATCCATCTACTTCTGAATGCCTTCCACATTTATAAACACAGAGGACATTTAATCGATGGTAACAAAGCAGGTAACATCTTAACCACAGGTAGATTGATGGGGTTTTCTCTAGCATACTTTATATTTTAAGGCCACTCCCAGTATATTACTCCCAAATGACCTTTTCCATATTTAAGCTAAAAGTAAGTTGGAGTGACTTTTAAGAAAGATAGTTGGCTGTTTTTATTTTATATACATATATGTACACCAAATACTCTTTTAGAACTCTAACAAAACATAAAACATCGCTTAAGGCTTTTGCAATTATTTCAGGTACTGCTACTCAAGGTCGACTTGAAAGAGCACTTAATGACAGAAAGGAATGTAGTTTTCTCACACAGACTGAGTGCTAAAGGGAAACAAGTCATTCAGCAGTAATATCACTCACCATCACT